ATTATTGATCGTAATTTATAACACAACTTTAACTAGCCGCACGCTTCACCAGAATCTGATGCCCGCTTCGTATATTATACATTTATGTTATTTCTTTTCTTTTTTCTTTTTTTTTCATTTTTTCGGGGGTTATTTTGTGTTGCTTTTTTTAAGCACTTCTGTAAAACTTGTATGTTGGACGAGGCACAGACTGGCCTGCCACAGCGGGGCGGAACCGCTACACTTTTTGGTTTCTAGTTGTCATAAAAAAGTATAATATCATTATTTTGGTCGCTTTTAACTACAAGGGGGCTATCCCGAAAAATGCTGTTTTGAGAAGATCGTAGATAAAGTTTTTGCCCCTTTTTCAGTTTCTTTAAAAGACAACGAGAGTTTTCTGTATAACAAAACAAATATACACACCAATGAAACCAAACTTCTCCTATAGGTAGGGCAAGATTTCTGGAAACCCCCGAAATCTGGGTTAGCCCGCTTGTCCTTAAAAGCGACCCTTTTGTTGTTGTTGTTCTTAATTTGTGATTTTATTATGGCTAACCGTTAAAATTTATTTATATTACTGTACACATATTATGAAATCAGTGCTTCTGATGTGCATTCGTTGCATTTCACGTTTTTCGCATTTTTAACTTCTAGCGTTACATTTATTAGTACTTTCAGTATTTTGTCCACTAGCACTGATGTTATTACCTTCAGCACTTTTTCCTCCAACATTCTTATCACGTTCCGTACTTTCTTTTCCAGCATTATTTTTGCATAATTTGGTACTTAGGTTTCCAATATTTTCATTACATTCGTTACTTTTTTTTCAACATTCGGTACTTTTTCTCCTAACATTTTTATTACAGTCAGTATTTTTTCTTTCAACATTTTTATCCCATTCGGTACTTTTTCTCCCAACATAATCATTACATTGGGTACTTTGTCTTCGAACTCTATCATTACGTTCATTGTTTTGTCGAAGAAATGTTAACGTTTGGTACTTTTTTCTTCCACCATTTTACTTTCGGCACTTTGTCCTCCAACATCGCCTTTACATTTAATTTAACATTCATGCAATCCTTCTGCCCAGTGCGAATATTGGATTATCATATTATTTTATACTCGTGTCTACTTTAAATAACTATAACGTCTTAGGAGAAAAATCATGATTAGGAAGAAAAAGTCATGATTTAATCATGATTAAAGGATAAATGGTAATACATGTATACAGATTCGTGGTGAAATAAGGCAGTTGTCAGAATAATGAAAAAGAAGAAACATCAATCTTTTCCACAGATTGGCCTGTTTTTGTCGAAATTTTAAAAAAAATTGGGTTTTTTAATTTTTAAAAATTATACTTTTTTGTTGTTTTTGGGGGAGGGAGGGGGGGGGGGTGTTTCAACACTTATTGTGTACATTTAAAGACACATTTATGTGTGGGTTTTACCGAAAAACTATGATATCAGGAACAAAAAAGTAAAGCTTTGGAATTCACCACATTTGGTGTCCGTTATCTCACTTATTTTACACCTGACACCAGGCGACCTCCACCTAAATCAATCGGTTTTTATCGCGACCTCGATTTAAGATAGATTGGTAGATGGAGAAGCCAAAATGTACCACAGCAACTCTCTGCAATCAGATTTTCAAGCAAAACGACCCAGACATTATTATATTATTTCTATCGATTTTTAATAAA